GCCGCAGCCAATCACACTACACCATCTTTCTCACCAGCCACAGGACAGAGCCACAATGGCGCAGGCAATGCAACTTGGTCCAGAGGCGAAGCGTCACGTCGAAGGAGCACAAACACAATGTGTCTCTTTCAGGCATATGAAACATGAAGGTGTTCATTCTGTATAAAATAACTTGGAAGATCTGTACTCCCAGCCTTTTTTCCCTTCGCATCCATCACTCCAACAAAACTCCCTCAATTCATCCTTCGCGATCCAAACCCTCTGAATTCAAGATTTCTGCAAAGAACGCACAAGAAACTAGCCAATCACAGCAAGTTTTCCCGCCAATCAGGATGCCTTATTCCTACTACCACATTCGCGAGCGTGAACGTTCACCCGCCCACGTGGACGCCGAGCCATTCTTCACCCGTCCTCTCATGCGTCGCAACTCTAAGCGTCAACGCGTCAACATCTACGACGATGACGAGTACGATGACTACCCTTATTCGTCATCGAAGCCATCAAAGCCCTCTCGCGCCCTGACTATCCGCCAACCGACCCACATCGAGAAGTACAATGTTTGGGAACCGCCATCGAAGAATCATTCCGATCGCCGTTACGAAGATGACCGTGACAGCTACAGGTACAAATTCAAACACACCACCTACATCGACAACGAGCCGGAGTACGAATACAAGCTCAAGGCGACATATCGCAGGCCGTCAGACTCATATTCTCAGCGTCCTATGTTCTGGTCTGGGGATATGTTTAGATCGAGGGATAAGTTCGAGAGGGTTGACTGGGAGAAGAAGGCCAGGGAGGAGGAGGAGGATTTCTGGGATGATGAGCCGAAGGTTAAGGAGAGTGTCACGAGAATGAGGAAGATTAAGAGATCGAGGACGAACGAGTGGAGGCCGCTTGGTGGATTCAAGCACTTCTAAGTATGTGCGGTGAGGAGTGTAAGAGTATGGGATAGAATGGCTTGATTCGTGTTTCGGCTAGATGTGACTGGATTGCTTTTGCTTCTCTTCGTACTATTCTCCTTTGAAAGACAGTAACGAAGTTATGATTTCATACTGCGATTCCGCTTTCTTCAATATCCTATTTGTTTCTTCCGCCTCGCTCAGCTCTTATCAAAGCATTTTCTATTTACCTAGCACGCTATTAAAAAATACATTGTAATCTATGTATGTATTTGGTTTTATTGGTCGATCTCGGGTCGTCGATTGTCCTCTAATTGATTATTCGCGTTAAAAGGGTTTCTATCTTCAACAATTCGAGCTTCTTTTCTAATCGACCAGATTTAGTGAAGGCTTGAAGGTGGCCTCACCTCCTGCGTTGAGATTCAGAAACCAACAATTCTCTCTCTCTCTCTCTCTCTCTCTCTCTCTCTCTCTCTCTCTCTCTCTCTACTCAACTTCAGCCTCGTCAAATACTTGAATAGAATACCCTTTAAGCATTTTTTTGCATTTCTTCTAGGCTTGAAGGTTCTGGACGTAAAATAAGCTATGACTCTTCAACTCCAAAGGTGTGCTTTACGCGAATTATTGCAGAAGTCCCCATGAAGCGATCTATTCGCCGCGATGATGTTCTCAAATCTCTACTTCATCGGATAAGTGGCAGGTTACTCTATTGTCTGTCCAGTGGACATGACATATCGAACATCCGGTACACAATTTGCTTGTTACGCAGCTCAAGCGGGTTTCAGTGTATTATTTATTTTGTGTTTAGAGATGCGTAATACGATGAAGCGAAGACGGAGTATAACTGTAATTCTGCGCGCCGTGATCATGCAGTACATTGTCGCGTACCGAAAGCTTCCATGACTACAGAAGCTGCCATGATGTCACTGACTACTTCGTTGCTGTCCCAGCCCTACACAGAATCATTTTACCAGCCACTATTTCCCGAATTAGCTATAGCATCTTTCCAACCCTCTTCCCCTATAACGATATCCCGATGTATTTACTAAGGAGGTTCACAAAAGTCCTATTATTTAATCGACATACCGCCTCTAACGAGGCCAAACCCTGCACCATCAAAGCTCACCATGGTCCGTGCAACACTTTCGATAGGATTTGGACTTGAGCAGTATCTCTGGAATTGTGATCAGAGCACTTAGTCTCGTAGTTTCGAGTGCGGGCGTATGGCTGACCTGAAAGGTGCCTCACACGAGAAATAAAGAGAAGGCTAGAGACCCAAGATACGCAGTGGTCGGCCATCGCTCCAGAAATACATCTTAATTGGAAGGCGTAGACGCAATAGAGATAAAGTACCGTTTCGTTGCAGAAGGAAGAAGGATATCGGTGCAAGGCGTAGTGTAGTGATGGTTTCTGAGTTGGCATTCTCTATAGATGAAGTTATTGTACGACAGAAGGGAAATACTGGTAAGCTCCAATCGCATTTAGATGTCGCGGTGGCCCCAGCTTTCCGTGATGTTGGTCCCCAACATCTAATCCAATGGTTCGTAGTTAATGGCATGCCTAAAGACTATACGAATCTCCTAGGATACTATGATTCAAATGATTTTATCCTTGAGTATAACTGAACTAAGATTATCCTTCTGGGCTCGATTTTCTTTAGTATTGATGCCGACGAAGTGCAGAGTTTGGCCGTGTGGGGTGACGTACGGGGAGATTGACATGCTAGTCCTATGGCAGCCTGACGAGCGTGCAATTGTACATTGCCTTGCTTTGAAATACATATCTTCCTATTTGAATATATGTACGTCACGTTAATGATCAAGTGTGGTGAGGGGTTGAATGTGCTTATTGTCGGACAGCAGGTACTACGCCACGCTGAGAGCGCACAGCCTCAGCCTCATTGAAGTGACCAAGGACCAAAGCAGTGTATTTCTCTAATTAGATGTCTCACTAGTTTGATATTTTGTTTTGAATATACCTCCCGTGGCGAGGTATGCCCTTAAATCGATACTGTATTCCGTGTAACCGCAAATTAACCGACAAATATATTTCTGAAGCTGAAACGGAGAGACATTAGTTCGACATGCTTATCACGATAACTTGACAGATCCGGCAACCCGTTCGTCAAAAGATTACAGACCTTTCCGCTATAGGGTTCATTTTTGGAAACAGAAAACCTCAATCAACATATTTGTTTGACAAGTCAGTGACGTTAAAATCCCACGAACCTATACCTGCCCGCAAGGTAGTACTTTTCGAACATTAGGCACGTACCACGGTTTCTGTACTTCTAGCCTAAGCCTTGTTATTGGAGGACGGGATTACCGGCTCCTCGGCCTTACTTGGTACGATTGAGTCTGTTTAGGATGCATTGCCTTTTATAGTGTATCATTGCTTCGTTGCATGAGAATCCATATGGCAAAGAAATTTTGATATGCGATAACCCAACCGGAAGTGTTAGTATCACAGTTACAATGTTTGATAATCCTTACGATAACACGCCGTTGACTGAGTATGACTGCGCTCCCGCGGACTTTAGTGAGATAACTTTCTACCACAACCTAGAAGTCTCGACAACGGTTAATATCTCATCCTCTACGTCATTGCCGCCGAATCTTTTTGCACTTACAGGTTTGGATCTTGCGCGTTCGGTGCCATCCTTTAGATTCGAGACCACGATTTCCGCCGCAACAACACCACAGAGTAGGAAACTCAGTAATACTAGCACCTTACTAAGAAGCGCCTCTCCATCAGCTCCGAATCCAGGGGCTTCAAATGCGCCGTCGTTCGTACAGCCATCCCAAATAAATCTAGAAGCCAAAGATATCATTAGGATTGTAGTAAGTGTCTCGAGCCTAATTCTAGGTGTACTAGTTCTATGGTTGATGTGGATAATGGTATCTCGGAAGGATAGGCCCAACCAGCCATAAGAGAAAGCCCAAAATGAGACTCTAGAGGTACCCGGAGGGCAACAGGTCAATAACCCCGACAGCGCCGTTCGAAATGAAGAAATACATATCTGCATGAGGGCTGGCATACAGATGATCCATGATGAGAATTAGTTCAGAATTTCTAGTAGAGGAATGAAAAAAAGATCAATATAATAAAACCGGCAGTTAGTGGTAGATTTAAACAATAGAATCTCGATCCGACGACAAAAGGTAGCATAAGTGTTAGCCGTGCTTGATGTTAGGCATACTACACAATACCTCTAAGCCTAACCCAGGTGTATGGCTTATTCAACATAGCAAGTGACACCATAAACATAGCAATATGTGAGCCGCACACATGGGACCTCCAATAGAAAAAGAGTTGTTCTGTTGCTGAAGCATGAAAATCGTAGCCAAACCTGCCAGCCCAACGCCACCTGGCCCCTTTTCTCCTAGCGTCCACACTAAGCACAACCCCCACAAAGAATGTCCAGGCAGTGCCACTCTATTCATTTGAACTTGAATCATTGGTCAGACCGACGAAAACGAAAAATTGCTCACTCTCGAAATTCAACTGAAGGTCTTCTCATGCTGCTGGTATAAAGGAGTGAGACACTGTATCTCTTAGCAAGGTAGGCCACTTATTGCAAAATGTTTTCGTGAATGTAGATTGATGGACTTATAAAGTCGGAATGTTCAAAGTTCAAATTGAACTACGTAAAAACTACATGAGCTAGCAAGAATCATGTAGAAGAAACCATATTAAATAAATAAGCGTCTAGCAACTTAGCTATAAAACAACCTATCCGCCTCAAGTCTAGCATAAACAAAAACTCCACCTCATAAACATCAATTCTCCACAACCCAATCAATTCTATCAAAACATCCCAACATCCCCTAACATTTGCCCTCCCCCAAAATAACCCTCAAAAAATATTAAAAAAAAAAAATTCAGTCCCAAATAAAGTCTAATCCCACAAATCACCCGCCAGCAAAAAATTTCGCCGCCGCCCCACACCCCCTTTTTAAATCAACAAACCGCACCACACCGCCACCCAAAATCCCACGAAAACACAACAATTCCTTTCCATAGTCTTCAATCTGTATTCAGTGAATATCTACATAAGCACTTCAACCGTCCATAATCTTCGTCGTTAGCATAACAACAGCCCGGCTGGCACAATTGGTCAGCGCGTGAGACTCTTAATCTCAAGGTTGTGGGTTCGAGTCCCACGTCGGGCTACAATGTTTCTGTTTTTGCGCTTCTTGCTCTAGAGTATATATATATATATATATATTGCTTTTTGATTCGGCATCTAAGGGATGGACAGTTTTGATGTGGGTTGGATGTCACGTCGTTGGGGTGGAGCTATCCATTATTATTCATTTTGGCGTTGGAGGAATAGAGAGTGATGGAAAGCGAAGATTGAGAGGGGATGATATGCGCCTGAGGGGCTGTGAGGGGTAATATATGGAGATGCTGGGGCTGGGCTCAAGCATCTGGCCGGATTGGTATAAGTGCGGTGACATTAGCCTTCGGGATGGGATACCTATAGCGCAGCTGGTCACGGCAATCGCCAAGCACGAGAACTACGAGATGCCGCGCTGAAACCCCTTTATTGAAAAACCCGCGTGGTCATTTTTCTCTCATGCGTTCTAACTCGTCGTGGCTATACGAATCCATAATTCCGCCCAGCCAAATGCAACCCGGGACCCAATTACAAATCCTCAAGTCTTACTTTCTACGCCTGTGCAACAGAGCCAGCACTGTTGTCCGTTCCATTACCACCACCTGTAATGCTCGCAACAAATTCTTGATACCGGAATACTTCTCCTCTTCCAAGGCCCTTGCCGCCTTTCCCGAATGCCCTCCTTCCACTAAATCCCTCAACGACCATATCAATCTCCCGCTCCGTGAGCTTCCGCTCCCCTGGCTCTGGCGCTGTATGTAGCAGCGCATCCTTGAGCTCTGCAAGGTCGATCTGTCCATCGTCCTCATCATCGAAAGCCTCAAATGCCGCACTGAGTTCGTTTGGGTGCGATAACCCAGATAATAAATCCGACAGTGCGTTTAGGTAAGTGGCCAAATTCATCGTATGCGCTCCGCCCGGGAAATATGTAGCGAGTGTCGATGGAGTCCCTGCCAGACCAAGCTGAGAGAACATGTCGGCTACGTCGGCCGAGTTTACATTTCCGTCGTTGTCGCGGTCCAAGACACTGAACGATTCGCGCATGCTATGGAGTAGTTGGGGTGGGAGTTTTGTCAAGGTATCGCTAGAACCGGTCCGTGTGGTAAGGGCGGGTCGCGATGTGGAGGGGGTGTCAGAATTGCCATCAAATCGCGCTGCGATTGAGGCCGTGTTCGACGGTCGCACAGTGTGCTGTGTTGACGTAGATACATGGCGCGTGGGTGAGCGAGTGGGAGAGCTGGAAGGTTCTGCGGCTGTCGCAGTCCCGCGCGTGTTTAACCACGAGGGTGGGTTGGCTGAAGCACTGCTTGTGTTGGATGGTCGCAGAGGGGTATGTGAAGGCGTGGTCCCAGTCCCAGTCCCATTCCCGGATGGTTTCAGCGGCGAGCTGGTTGGAGTCGACGGCCTCACCGTCGACGGAGAATGCGCCAGAGGCGAGTTGGGGCGGCGGAACGGCGAGGTGCGCGGGCTGTTGAAGGAGAGCGGGGACGGCTTGTAGGGCGTCGGCGTCGTCGCCTGCGCATGGTCAGCAAGAGAAAAGTTTGGTCAATTTGGCCATGCGTCTCTCATACATACCATAGTTGGTGGGCTGTTGCTGTGAATTTAGCTCGGCGGCAGCGCTATGTAGGCGGAATCACGATACCAGTCCTGGGCTCGCGTGTCTGGTGTTGATGTTTGTCTTGGCGAGCAGTTCGCGAGGCAACCGCGAGCCGGCCAGTTATTGGAGTCTGGGGAGTGCAAGGCCGCATATCGATAAGCAGTGGGACCCTCACCGCCTTGAACTCGCGGACTGGGAAGGTCCTGCGGGGCCCCACCCCTAGCCTAGCGTCCAGTGTGACAGTGTGACAGTGACAGAGTGACAGGGCTGCCGCTTCGTCTCCCTCAAGAGCATGCCCTGTGCAGCGTGGCCCCGGCCGCCATGGACACCCTCATGGCCGAAGTTGTTGCGCAGCGAATGAACGCCAGTGTCCCCGCGCACCCTGGTCTGCAGCATGAGGCGTCCTTCACCTCCTTTCCCCCTTCCAGATCGCCTTCGTCGATATCCACGCGAAACGACAACAAGAAAGGCCGTTCGCCGCAGCCGCCCATGCTTCGAGAAGACGAGGGCTCACTCAATTCCTCGCGCAACTCGTCGCTGCCCCCCCCGACGGGCAAGCCCAAGAGCAGCGTGAGATTGCGCTCCCAATACCCCGCCGACTCCCTGGAGAACCATGTCGAATACATTCTGGTAGCATCGTTTGATATTGACCGCGGGTCGGTCATGGAGCACCAATACCCTGGCCCTATAAGCGGGGATGAGACTATGTTGGCCGAGCTGATGCTGCCGGATCAAGCTCACGTTCGCAGCCAGGATTGGACCATTTTCTTTCTACATAAGGATACAAGCGCTGACGAAGAGGAGAGGGAAACACGGAGGGAAAGGAGGAGAAAACGGCGGCGGAGGAAGGAGGGTCGAGAAGATGCCGACGATGCCACGGCCGGGGCGGAAGAGGGTGATGGGGATGATGACGGGGATGAGACTACCGACGATGGGCTAAGTGACGATAGCGATGAGGACATCGACACGGATGGACCCCCGCTTGTCTACGTCCTGAATCTAGTCAACACAAAGCAGGATAATACAGTAAAGAGGTACGGCAATGCAGAAGACATATCGCGCCCTAATACTGACCTAGAGCAGAGGTGCAATTGTGAAAGCTATGGCGATATGTACAAGGCATTCTTTCCTACACATTTACAAGGTGATCCATTTCTTGTCCGCATAAATACATATGCTCATGCCATATAGCCGCTTCTGCTTCTTGCCCTCGAGGAGTACTTCCGCGCACCGGTTCTTGAGACTCTCGCCTCACTATACAATGCTTTGAACGCCATGGACCTCTCGTTACTGCCGAAGCTTTCAATGATGGAGCAATATGTTTTGCAAGCCAGCGATTCAAAAGATATGTTTATCGAGAAATTTGACAAGATGATTCGGCAACGCAAGGCCAAGGATGCCGCACGAGCTTCTGATCCTCCAGAGACAGCCTCTATTTCTGATCTTAAACCAAAAACCTATGCCTCACCAAGAGACACGCATGAATTCGAGTCAAAGGTCAATTACAACGGCATTCCAGTCCCTATCAAAGTCCCCACAGCCTTAAGTCCCGAGACGGTCGGTGACTTCTCCCTAATCAAACTTATTCAAACATTTTCTACCCCCCACTCAACGCAACCTCAACCATTCGCCCTGCATCCACATCTCACAACTAGTGGTGCTTATACGCACCCGATAATAGTACTCGTAAATGCTCTTCTCACGCAGAAGCGCATCATATTTCTTGGCCACAATCGGCCTTCCGGTGAAGTGGCAGAGGCTGTATTGGCGGCATGCGCATTAGCGTCCGGCGGACTTCTCCGGGGCTTCGTCCGCTACGCTTTCCCATACACCGATCTCACGAAGATTGATGACCTCCTAAAAGTCCCGGGCTTCATTGCAGGCGTAACCAATCCCGCGTTCGCTCACAAGCCAGAGTGGTGGGACTTACTATGTGATCTGCCAACTGGGAGAATGAAGATAAGCCATCGGATTGAGAGCGTGCCGGTTTCGGACGGAGTACATTTCTTTCAGCAGAATGGTATCCTCAACGGCGCAGGGTCCCAAGGTGGCGTGGATGCCAAGATTGATCCGACTGGCGACACGCATTTCATGGAGACCCTCCTCCAGAGCATTGCCAACCGACACGGCGAGAACGCCATCCGCGCAAGGTGGCGCTCGTGGGTGTTAAAATTCACCAGGATAGCCTCGGCCTTCGAGGAAACCGTATATGGCGCATCAGCACTATACATTGGCTCTCACGAGACCGATGTAGGCGCCTATGGCGTCTCAGGCCACGGCTTCGTCTGGCCAGACGAAGCATCGCGCATGCGCGAACTCGCTGCCAACGTATACAGAATAGAAGGATGGCGCACAACTCGCTCCTACTACTCATTTGTCCAAGACCTTGCCAGACGTTGGGACAAGCGACCAGTGCGAGGCATCGATTTCCACCACCAACACGACCGCCTCCGCTGCCTTCGCCTGTCGCACGACCAGAGCGCGGCGATCTACCTCGCCTTCGCCCGCGCCGTCGAAGAAGCTGGTCTCCCGCCTAACTCGACATCCGACACCGACCTAGCGGCCTCTCTCGAAAGATCGCTTACGCTTTCCGGGGAGTCAGCCCCCCAGCGCGAGCGCGGTGAGCAGCTACAGTACGATACTATCCTCCAGCTCCTTATAGTCGTCCCGGAAAGCAACTCGGGACTGTTTTACATTGCGCTAGGCTTGTTCCATCCGAGGCAGGATGTCCGAATCGCGGTTGTGGGCCTACTGGAACGCATTGTGGAACATGCGGCTGGAAGGCATTTCTGGGCGACATTGGGGCGGTTTGCAAAGTTGGCTTTTTTTAGAGTTAAGAGGGAGGAAGTGGGACTTGGGAGGTAGGGCGGTTCAGAGGGATGGGGGGAGTGGGAATGACTAGATGCCTTTGGAAAGAAGGTTTGGTGCTAAGAGATATATGTGTGATGATGTGAATGAAGATAGTTGTTTTTGAGTATAGGAATTTGTGCGTGTGCATATACTCCTAGATTGCGTGATGATCATGTAAGTTTGCTAATGAGAACAAAATGGACTTGTTGACGTATAAGAAGTCGTCAATTGGGACGGCCCGATGGACCAGAGTACCAATCTTGTCCGTCGTGAATACAAGGTGCGAGAAATTTGCATTCCTGGGCTAGATAGCGTAGATGTGAGACTATGATTGCTGCTGGTTAGACTGTAGGAGATGGTATCGGATGTGTGTCTGTGCGCATAAGCCTGAGTGGAGATTTGGAGGAAAATAAAGAAAATAAACAAATATGAGAATGGTAGTTATACATGTGGTATCTGGGGATGTCTGATGTATTTGAGTCTGAGTAAAAGGGTACTTAGGTAAGCGTACTTCGAATGGGTGGGAACATCGGTTTCTTTTTTTTTTTTTTTTTTTTGGTGGAGGGAAGGGTTTGGTGGGGACTTGGGTGTGAGTGTTTCGTTAT